TGACCCACAAAACAAGACAGCAATAACTGACATTGCTGTTTTCATGCCACTGAGGCAAAGGGCAAGCCTCAACCCTCCCCAAATTTACATGTTAAAAACAAGCAATACCAATGGGATCCAGAGGGAAGTCTGATTTACTCAAGATTGCAGTCAAGTAGCATTCTCCAGTGAGCTGGCAGAATAATACTAGTAGTTGTCCTGAGTCTACACACAGTCATGTAGTTTTATTAATATCAGAAAAAAAACTGGCCATGACATTGCATGGAAAGATCCCTGAACAATCCCAGCCCCTCTCTTTGGCAGAAAAAGATGAAGCTTAAGGAGTGAACTTAAACATCACACAGTGCAGTAAGTTATCACTAAATTACCAAATTGGCTCCATCATCCTTCTGCTTGAGTCAACTGTCCTGCTGAACACAAACATGTATATCTTTTTTTTTTCCAGAATTTTTGGTTCTTATAACTAATTCACAAGCTCCCTCTGCTGGGCTACCAGCATAGGAGACTGATGGCAAAACTCCTGTTATTTGCAGACTGACCCATTTTCTTCAGGTTATTTTGATGTGTTAGGTGCATATTAAAGTGTTTTTACATGCATAGAGGAAGGTTTTTTCCACAGTAATGTAAGTGTAGCTGTTACCTCCTAAAAGTATATGTGCATCTATCAAAATGATACTTGGCTTCAGTAATGCTTTCAGTTACATACAGGAAAGAGCTCTAAGAAAATAAATACAGCTCTTTTAAGAGAATTAAAAGCTTACAGTCATCAAGTATACTCAGTACATTGTGCAGTTCTATGTAGCAGTGGTTTTCAAAAGGCAAAGCATGAGCCAAGGGGCTTGGACAGGGAATGATGAACTGCTGAAAATGTTACAGTAATCAGAAGCAAAGAAGAGCTAGTCCTTTTTTTTTACTTCCTAATTCTCAAGGTCAAGATTTGTGTCTAAAATCAAAACACATATTTAGAGCTGGGCATTGTCATAACTCATACATTGCAAAATCTCTCCTAGTAGATTAAAAGGAGTTGTGAAATCATTCTCTTCCAACTAAGCAATCTCAGGTTGAGAAAGACTTCTAACAACAAAAAAGGATGGATGGTGTTCTGTGATTGCTGTAGACATAGCACTTCCTTGCTGGCTTTTAACAGGGATTTACTGAATGAAGTATCTGCCTCAAATAATTCACAAAACTGTGGAATGCCTTAATGGGAAAAGGCATATTGCCTGCAGTGGCACAAGAGAAAAATGGAGAGACTTTAAAAACAATCACAGTGGCTTTTCTACTGTAGGTCGGGCTCCTGGGCACAGACAGTAGTACAAATACTAAGTATTACAGTGCTTCCTAATTGTTGTGCTTAAAGTAAGAGGTATATGGGAATGTAGCTGTCACCTGTGTGAGCAAACCAGTTATTTGCAGCACACAGAATCAGTGGGCAATGATATAAAATAGAAAATAAAGGACTCCACCAACCTACTGATACAGAAATTGCAGGGGAAACGTGGAATGCCTGTATTCCAAACTTCAATCTACTGAGGAGAATAAAATGAACATTTCTGACATCAATTGAGACAAAATCATCAGTTTTGACCAAAGTGGACAGACCACTTAACCTGGAAAAGGAACATGTATAATTTATATGTGTTTGTTAAATAGCTGAAAGCTTAAGAAGGCAGGTGTGACAGGAGAAGGGGGAATGGCCTTAAACTAAAAGAAGACAGCTCTAGACTGGCTATTAGGAAGAAGTTCTTTACTGTGAGGTACTGAAACAGGTCGTGGTGGAGAAGTTCACATCCCTGGAAGTGTTCAAGATCAGGCTGGATGGGGCTTTGACCAGCCTGGTCTAGTGGAAGGTGTCCCTGCCCATGGCGGGCAGTTGGAACTAGATGGTCTTTAAGGTGCCTTCCATCCCAAACTGCTCTGTAATTCTATGATAGGACAGGTTGTGATATCTTTAAAAGTAAAAAAAATAGTTGACTGAAGTTTTAAAGCACCAGCAATATATCTCTTAGTGTCAGTAGTCTTTTGGCTAAGTACTGACAGGATGAAGAATAATTTTACCTATGCTTATGCTAAATGACATTCAAGAAGTTTCTCAAAAGATGTAGCTATCTCAAGCCTGACTTTTTTTCTAGGTAGCATATTCTCATATTGGCTTTATTGTTCATCAAAGCATCTGACAGCTCCAGAGGACGTGATATCAATATGCAATTTATATTCTCAAAGCCTTGAGGATGATCAGTCTATTTCTTTTCTGTTCCTAATTAAACATATTGCTTCAGTAATTCCCAGGGGCAAGGAGGCATTGTGACTAGACTGAAATGAAAATGAACTCTGTAGAACCACAGCTACATCATCGGTGGTTATGATTAATGTATTCTGTGATTGTTGTTTTGGTCGTAAGATTTAGCAGTTTTATTAAAGATACTGTAAGGGAGCATACAGAGACAAGTCACAATTTTCTTTTCTTCATAAGGTGAAAGAAATCTGAGAAGGTTTTAAGACAGAATTGGTTGAAGTAAAATATAGCAAGTCAAGGGAGATCTTAAATGTGATTTCTGATTATTCAGACTTTGCCAGGCCACTAATAATTATGGTTAAGTGAGGGTTTCTGTTCCAGCCAACCATTTCCTAGAGTAAGGAGCAAATACAAATCCTTCTTATTTAAGTGTTTTGGGAAACAGGCAGCAGCCCTGCAATGATTGTGGATTGAGGCTCTTGTTAAGAGATAATTTTGTAATTAGCAAAAAAATAAGGTTGTTTTCCAGATACACACGTAATTTTCTTTGCCATTTTCTTTGGTAATGTAGAAGTGGATCAGGTGGGTTGATTTCTATCATCCATTCTAATCATGATTCTAAATATCATTTTTCATCTGGCTTTGCATGTGGGCTGCTTTTGCATTCTGAAAAAGAGGTGATATTCATTAGCATATTTCATTATGCCAGATAAAAGGGTATACTGTGTATACACTGAAGTATTCATACTGCTTAAGTGCTTGACTTTTTACACTTGCTTTATATTAAAAAACGGTGAACTGATCCTTCTTTATGCAGCATTGTGGAAGGCTGGATTTGGGTGGAAGTTTATATGCATTTAAAATACACAACCAGCATTTTAAAATAGACATTAATTTCATTTAAAAATTAGATGTGGGGAACATAAAAATAAGCTTAGCAAAACATGGTCTGTGTTGAAAGCTAGTTGTTAATATTAAGTAAAGGGATTACTACACAGGGAAAATGAACTGAGATTTTTCTAACCAGTGTGCCTTTGCCTTCCAGGATTACCATTAGTAGACTTTATCCTTCACATTTATTTCTAAGGGGTTACCTTACTAATGGTTTTACAAGGAAGGTGTGGAGGCTGGAGGAATAGGTCCCAAACTGGCAGATATTAAAATTAAAGCTCTGGAGAGAATTCACTGTGTCTCCCTATTCCTCTGCTCTCCTCATTTGCTTAGGATTTAAACCATTTCTTTAAATTTCGTGAAGATAAAATGATTCATTTAAAAATGATTGAAAATGAGTGAAGTCTCCAGATGTTAATGGCTTATTTACTTCTACTGCAGGAACATTAAAGAACACTAATGAAGATCAGAAGTAGGTTGTTCTCCAGGGTATAAATATCATAGTCATTTGGAGCAGCTGTAACAAAATCCCTTGTTATGAGAGAGCAAGGTGAGACAGACAAATAAAATTTTTCAGCCATTACTTTTCAGACAGGTTTTAGGTGACATTAATTTTCTGTAGCATCTTTTATGTGCCAAAGGAGAGAACACAGTTTATAACTTATGTTGCCTCTATACTTAATGCTATCAGTATTTTTTAAACTTTTTAACTGAAGAAGTAATTGTAAATCCTATGATAATACAAATTATAGCAAACTCAAATGAGTTCAGAAACATTTCAAAGACATCACCTTGATATTCCAGTTAGTTTTAGGACTACCATTTATCTTGTCAAGACTATTTGTGCAGCCTTTTTCTTTTTTTTTTCCTGTCTCACTTTGCCTTTTTTCTTTCTCAGTTCTCTTTTCATAATTTGAAATATATTTCTTTAAAGTACTGCTGCCATACAGGCTTTTCCCTAAAGCCAAAACACTACTTCAATTAAGGTGTTGGTTAGTAATGTGCAGGTGGGGCTGACACAGAGGAAATTGCTGAAGATTGCAGTGAATTGCATATAAATAGAGTTGTAGTTAAAACCTGTAAAACTGATCCTTCACTGAATGCTTTAGGTCAGTAACTTGGAAAAGTTCATGTCTGGTGAAATATATGATTTATCAGTCTTACTTTTGACACCACTAAGAGTAAGGCATTAGTCATTTCTTAGGACTGCAATAAAGGCAGCATTGACCTGTTCATGATGATAAAGTCCCATAAGCTTAGCTAACCTCTCTTCATAGAAACCTGTCCTGCACTTCATTTTTCACAGCATCTTCTTGAGGTAAGAAAGCCTGATTTTTTTACTAAGATGTTTCCAAACCCACACACATAATAGTGATTTTCAATAAAATCTGGTACCCTCCTCTTTACTTCCTCTTTTTTTATCTTGTCTGTAGAAAAATCTGTCTAGCCTGGTGTGTCCTAATAAAGCCTGTAACACAACTTCTTTAGTCTTTCCCTTTGTCTTATCCTAGCTTCTCTTCCTCCAGTCTGGGGGCTGCTGTTCTGCAGCTTGCCTGCTGCTTGCTGTCAGGTCCTAGACGCTGGATCTTGAGGAAGGGAAAGCTCTTAGTGGGCCTTTTTTCACCTCATCTGTGCAGTTAAATGTTTGGCATTCCCTTCCTGAGACGGGATGAAACTCTGTTTTTGAGAATCATTATGTAAATTGACTATGTTATGTAAGGAACTTTTAATAATGATGTACATTACAGCATGCTCATAAGATTAAAGGCAGTACTTTGTCTTGTGCACCAGCAAAAAAGCAGAGTCCTGAAAAATGTCTTAAAAAATTAAGTTATTATAATAGACTTGATGTTTGTTTGATGTTTCTGTTTAGGTGCTGACCCCAGCACAAATAAAATCAATTTGCCTGGCCATACTCGAATCAGGAAAACAGTATGCAGTGAAGAAGAGGAAACCATTCCCACTCATGTATTCCTACTACGGAACAGAGTATCTTGGTGAGTAAAACACACCAACGGCTTTGACAGTGATGCTGTGGGTAGATGCTGAGCTAGCAGGCACTTCAGAAATAAAATACATAAAACCTACAGTGTGGGATTTCTCCTGACCCAGCTGGGACCATCCAACCTTCTAAAACTGCTAAGGGGGACAAGGAGCTGGAAGGAAGGACTGATGCTACCGAGCACTGGGGAACACAAGAGGTGCCTGTGCTGCACCAGGGGAGCAGCAGGGAGCAGCTTCATTCCCTCTTCTCCTTCCTGCCCTGGTAAATCTGCCTTGCCAGACAGAGGCAGTGAGAGGTGCCCGTGTCTGTGTGGAGCAGGTTACCTGAGGGAGCAGACAGGGATGTTTTTGTAAGCTGCTGTTGCCATGCAGGGACTTGCTGAGCGATTTGGGCCATAGCAGTGCAACTCAGACATGTGGTCAGGTCCTACCCATTGAGAGCAGCTTTAGCTGCAGCTCATCTGAAGCAGTGGGGAAAGGCCATTGAGCAGGTCCTTGAGGTACAATATGCAGAAAGTGTGGGATTGATTTGCATATATTAGCGAGTTCTCTGGCAGGCGACCAGCAGGAGAAGTCACTGAGTTGTGTGTGCCACAGACCCTCGCAGGTACAGACAGTTCTTGCACTGAAATTTAAGTTTTAGCTGACTGATACTGTCAATCAGGAACTGAGAATACCCAATTTGAATTTCAGTTCAGGTTCAGTTTAACTTCATGCACTGAGTTTCAGTCATATCCTAGTGAAAGCATAAAAAATTCATATATATTTTTGCAAAGCTGGAGGAACTGGAAATGACAGAAGTAGTAAAATATCTTTTATTCTAAGCACTGTTGTAACATGCATAAAGAAGATGAAGGAGCTATGTGCTTGACAAGGAAATCAATCCCAAGGGCAAGTTGCCATGAGGTGGAGGTAGGACCCTCTTATTTGATTGTTTCTGTTCTTTACAGGTGCAGCTCATGGGCTTTCGTCAATCCTTCAGATGTTACTCTCCTACTATGAGTACCTGCAGCCAGCAGATCAGGAGCTTGTGTGGCAGAGTGTGGATTTCCTTATGGACCAGGAACAGAACAGCAACTGGCCTCCTGAGCTGGGGGAGACGATCGAGCGGGAGAATGAGCTCGTGCACTGGTGTCATGGAGCTCCAGGTTCTTTTCCCATTGATGCTTTGAATAGCCAGATGCTGATCACGTTGCTTTTACACGTTAGGTGATTCCATGTAGAAGATAATCTCAGGTTAAATTTGACCGGTTTTGACCTTTTAGGAGATGCAGGCAAACTTTCTAGACTTCTTCTTCCAGTTCAGAGTGTTTTATTTATTGCTGAAGCAGCTGGAACAAGAGGTATATTTTCTGCCTTAAAAGCATAGGTGATCACTGCTGAAAGAGTTCTGGTGATCCTGTTTTCTGCTTTTGCTCTCATTCGTAAGACCTCAAAGACTGGTACAGCTGAGTCAAAAGAGAGCATGTGGCTGGAAAGAAAAATGGTATGTGAAAGAACACAGATACAGACACATACAGTTTGGTGAAGGACTCAAGAATGCCTCTTTTTTTCCCCTGTCAGAATCAAAGTTTAAGCTGCACTTGTTACATGGATAATGCATAATTTGACCGAAGTATTTTCATGTGAAGTATAGTTTGTACTAACAGGAGGCATTTTTTCCAAAAGTAATGCATATAAAACTGCTTTCCAGAAAAAAAAAAATCAATGCTTAGTTTGGGTTCATGAGGTGAGGCTGATGTCTCTCAGCAATTTTGGCAAGTAATGCTGCATATTGAAAATGCTGCTTTACCTCCAGGCAGAATTTTATTGCTAACGAGTGATATTGTCTTGATAACAATGGTACTCTAATGAAGTGGAGTAAAAACAGCTTTTGCCTACCAAACTTTATTATGAGTAATTTATTTAAATCCCCTCTAAAAATAAGCCAAATAGCTTTTTTTTTTTTTTTTAGTATGCATAGCTGTGTATAACTAAAATAAAGCAGTATGGGAATAAAAGTGAGTTTCTTTTTCTCATCTAGTAAAAAAAATTATCTGTTGCCAATGTAAGAAATTATCTTGCCCATCTTTCTGTTTCTATCAGTGTAAGTAGGTGAGGTGAATGGGGATTTGGAAATAGCAGAAGACAGTGCTAAGAGTTTACTGTTTTAAAGGCAAAAATGTGACTGCTGTTTTAAACTGATAAAAGTTTGGGAATCTTAGAGTAAACCCTGAAATTCAATGATATATTGAAAATATTGTAAGTACATCTTACCATATGCTTTTTTATCATACCAGATACTCCTCCCTCCACATTTAGCACACAGAGGTAGCGTTGACATGTGCAGAGCATGAGAGTGCAGTTTTTTAGTGTATTAATCTTTATTTTCTCAAGTGTTCTATGAAACCCTTGGCGTCCTCACTACAAAAGATAATCTCACTGCTCTTTTCCTAGGCATTGCATACCTGTTTGCCAAAGCTTACCTGGTTTCCAAGAAGCCTCAATATCTGGACACTTGTATCCGCTGTGGAGAGCTGACTTGGCAGAAAGGCCTGTTGAAGAAGGGCCCTGGAATATGCCACGGAGTGGCTGGTAGTGCTTACGTGTTCCTGCTGCTCTATAGGCTCACTGGAAACTCAAAATACATATACAGGGCACAAAGGTTAGCATTCCTGTCTTCTGGATGTAGGGTAATACTGGAAAGTTTTGGGAACATTTATGAAGCAGCTCTGTCTGTGATCACCACTCAGTTGTAACATGAGCAGTGAGTTGCAATGAGCTGTGGGGCAGGAGCTCTGCAGTCCTGCTTCCAAGCTGCCTGTGGTGGGAGAAGCATCAGGTTCTCCCAGGCTGCCTCCCTCCCTCCCTCCCTGCCCCAGACCCTGTGCTCTTTCAGAGGGAACTGGGCTGGGTGTGGAGGGATGACGTGCAACCAGGTATCATCCTGATGTGAGTTCAGAAATCAGCCAAGTTGTGTACCTGAGTCCAGGAGCAGAGTAAAACATGATTTGCTACATTTTTTTCAGAGCATTTAATGCTATTTCTTTCTACTAGAAGTGGGAAAATAAATATAGGACATGATTTGCTGTTATTTTACAGGTTTTTAATTTATCCTTCCCACTTTTAGCCAGTTTGACATTGTGCTGTTCAGTTTAGCTAGTGGAGTTAATTCCATTTTCTACAGATGCAAGCATGTATGGTCCAATGAAAATTCTGTCACAGTGCTGCAACTAGCTTTAATTATACATTTGTAACTTAACTGCATATGTTTAAAAACATAGAATTCAATGTTTGTTATTGTTTTCCTTACAGCATAGGACAATGAGGGAAAGTGATATAATAACTAGGGTGATTTATTTTCAGCCATTTGCTTTGAAGTGAGAACCTTTTATTTGTGTAGTTACTTCAGCATGACAGAATTTGTTGCATCAGTGTGAAACCTTGCTTGCATCCTAAAGGTTATTAAAAAGTACTTGTTTAATGATATGTCTTACAGAAATCAGAAAAAGTTTACAGCTCTTAAACAAGCAAAATGCACATAGAGATTGCAAAGATTTGTCTCTTCAAAATCTAATGGATCTCAGTTTCTTGTGGAAGTTGGATAATGTAGAAGTTGCAGATAAGGTTAAATAATGATCATTCTATTTTTTTAATGGCTGAATGTTATTAAAATGATGCTTTCAAACAACAGGTAAGTAGACAGAGTGTGATATCAAATAATAACAAACTCTTTTTTTTTCTCTCTTAGATTTGCAGAGTTCTTATTTACAGAAGAATTTAAGGCTGGTTCCCGGGCACTAGAAAGTGTCTATAGTCTGTATGAAGGTTTTTCAGGAACTGTGTGTTTCCTGACTGACTTGCTGCAACCCAACCAAGCCGAGTTTCCTCTCTTCAGTGTCTTTGTCTAAAGACTGACACCCTCCAGGGCCACATCCCGGTGGCGATGGGGGAGGGCACCTGCAGTTTCACTTTTTTGTCAAGACAGGCTATTTACAAAACGAGCCAGTGGTACCACTAATGCTAGCCTTAATGTAGCTGGGAGTCAGGTGAAAAAGAAAACACACTGGGGCTTTAGGAGGGAAGTGTGTGGTCACCAAAAATGGGTCAATGAAAAAAAAAAAGGGGGAGGGGGGAGTGATTGAATCTGATGGGGTAGATATTTAGCTGTAATAAGGAGCATAATCTAATCATTCAAGTGAGAGAGAAAGGGGCATTATCATACTTTTAATTTGGCAGTTACACAGGAGAAAAAAAAAAAAGTCAAACTAGAATTGCAGGGACACACAAAGAAGAAACAGCAATGCAGTCAGTAGGTTTTAAAAAGAGTCCTGCAAAGACAATTCATGGAGCAATGCACTTACTGGGGAAGCTGTTGTAGACATTTCACTACACTGCACAAAGGCAAAATCTGGGACTTTTTTACTTAAACCACATCTGCTAGTTTTAGTAACACGTATTAGGAATACCTGTATCTTGGAACTCTTTCCTCTTCATGTGCATGTAATGACAGTTCTGTAGATAGCTGTGAGTTCAGGCTGCAGTTTCACAGTTCCTTTCAGCAAGTGGAGTCTCGTGTGTAAATGAGCACTGAATTTGACCCTTCCTTTCAGAGCTCAGTCTGTGACAAGGAGCTGGTCTCCTTGCTGACTTATTGTAACGCTGTCACTTGTCAATAATTTCCCTGTCACTGGGAAGGTGGCTGGAGCTGTGGAGAAGACTTGGTTAAAAAGGTTCTGTAGCAAAGATACAGCAGGCAGATGCTTTCTTCATGATACAGCATTGCTAGACAAGTATTGTTCAGTGACAAAAAAGCTTCCTTTAAAAATTACTTATAGCAGCATTTCTGAACAGTAACACACATATTTCAAACAATGGAAAAATCTGTTTTCCTTGATGAATTCTTCACTACAAACCCTGCAAACTGAATGCAAACCTTGAATGACATACTAATCTTAAGAAAAACCTGGTAACAAATTCAAAATTGCTTCTTTTCCTAGTAAACAAAATAGTGTATATGCCCAAACGATTTTTAGCTATAGAAATAAATGGGTTGCTCAATACTAGTTGCACTAGCACTTAAGGTTGCAATTATATACTGTTTTATATGTATTATAGACATGACATGGTACTTGAAAGCTAAAGAAACCATTGACGTAGATTTGTACTAAAAATATAAAAACAATATCTGTAGGTAATATATATTTACTATTTATTCATTTATTTTTATTTATATGGGAATAATGTAACACAATTACCTGTAAAGACAAATTGGAAAGACCAGTATGTCAGAAACTGAAGTTATAGCAGATATACATGCACTGCCAAACAATGCAGTCTCTCTTCCTGCATTCTCAGCTGGAGGAGATTAAAATTTCTTTATTTTTAATGCCTAATGGATTAAAGTTCCCATTTCATTTCAGTGGGCTTTGATCAGGCTATAAGTTGGAGCAGGGTCTTGAAATCCCTCCACATTTTAATGTAATAATCCCATTCCTGCTCTTGCCACTGTAATTTTAATGAGACTGGGTTGCATGACTATGAGCTGCAGATAAGGATTTCTGTTATTTTGTCTTGCCCTGTGCAGCTCTAATTAATTACTTAATAATAGAAATAACCATATTTCATTAGTGAATAAAGCAATGCAGTCCTGTATCAGTTTGTCAAGAATTTAGGTATCTTTTAGCAAGTGCAAAAGTTACAAATCAAGATACATTTGCTATGTGTTTATTATTTGTGGGTTAAAAGGTCTTCTAAGAAAGCCATAAATGTCACTTAGTTGATTACTCTGAGCAGTGAGATGTGTGCACATAGAAGGATGAATTCCACAGGGAGGTGTGCATGTGAGGCTGAATGAAAAAGTCAGTGGAGATGTGTGTGAGCTCTGCCCAGCAGTGTTGAAATGCTCCTGTTAGATCAGAGGAAAGTCAACTGTCAGTAGTCAAGATCCCATCTCCATTAGGATGTTTATCTAGTTGCTTCCTGTAATGGATGTGGCTCATATATTTCATAACTGGAATCTTTTTAAACAAATGTCTAAGGAAGGTAAAACTTGGTGTATCCGCTTTCGCAATGTGATCAGAAACTTTTCAATCTCAATTTTTATTGTATCGTAATGTCACTCAGCTTAAGCAAGTGAGTAACAACATTTGTGCCACAGCATTTAAATAGCTACTATAACTGTGTTCTGTCTTACACTAAACCAGAGAAATAGGTTTTGCTGTGATCTGGACTGAAACTTTTGCAGTCCTTCATTTCTTGCTAACCCTTTTATTTAGAGGTACAAACATAAACCAAAAGCGTCTAGCGTTTTGATGACTACACCTTAAAAAAACCCTAAACAACTCCAAACTTAAGCCTTAACACATATCAGAATAGTAATCATGAACTTTTAACTTTGTCCCCAGTGCTTACTTTTTAATTATTAGTGGGCCACAACATTTAATTGTTTCCAGTTAGTTATCTCTCAGGAGACGCTTGAGAATGAAAACCATTGCCAAAACCTCAATAAATCTAGAGCATGATAAATCAGTAACTTAGATTCTGACCAAGTTATAAGTGCTAATACCATAACATATACCACATGTGTTAAAATTTACCATAATAGCAGTAGACAAAATCACTCCGTTTTATTATACTTTACTTCCAATGGTCAAGTTTGCATTTATCTTTAAATGTGATTCTTCATAAATGGCAGGAAATAAATCAAGAACTCAGTGTCAGTTTTCTAGTGGTTTTTCCTCTGTGCCCCTTTGTAGAACCCTAATTCCTTCCAAGTTACATTCAGAGGAGACTGATCTGCTCTGTGTTGTGTTCAACAGCACCTGCAACAGATCTTTCTCCACAGCTGTTCTCCATATATGAAGCCATGTGTTTGGCTTCATTTGATACTAATCTGGTGACAAAGAAAATAGTTACTTGAGTAAGAGTTAGTCCATTCAACAATAAAAAAACCCATGTAACTGCCCAGTTTTTGAAATCTAGGTCCCAAACATCTTTCTGCAGGTTATGCGAGTTGGTCACTGACTTCAGCAAGGGCAGCACACAAATATCCAGTATCATGGTTTGCATCTAGTAAAAATTCTGGAACATGATTATTCATCTCTTTCATCAGACATGGCAGTTTGAGCTCATTCTTAGAGCTTTGTGGCTTTTCTTACCTGACCTGGCTGGGTTAGGGTGGCTACTAGATGTGCTGCAGTCACAGCTTCTGAACACAATGTAAATACACCCAGGGCTCTTCCGAAAATCCCAGTCATTAAATGAGCAGGGTTTTTTTTCATCTTTTCCTTCCTCTTTATTTCCTATCTTGATTTTATTCTTTGTACTATATATGCTGTTACATACATGCTGTTGCAACCTTTGTTTGTTGCTTTTAAGACAATGACAGGAAAGTAACCTGAGCAGAGCCGTTGGCACTTTTCAGTGTAATAAAAAACAAGGTTCTCTGTGTTCCGTTCTTCCTGCTTGGAGAAATCAATCATGCAACCTTTGCTAGACATTCTCCATGGGCTGCTGTCTGCTCCTGCTCCTGAAGTGGGCCCCAATAGACTGAAAAAGTGTATTCCTGAACAGATTCTGCCATGGTGCTGTGACAAAGGACTGTGTAACCGGAAACTCGAGAGGCCTCTTTCAAAGTGTAAAACACAAGTAACTATGTCATGTTTGCACATTAGTTTATTGACTGTGTTTAGTTTCTAAAGTGTAGGCAATAGGAATTTAAGTGATATAATAGTATTTCTGATTATGGTGTTAAAGCAAAGAGGATGCATTGTGTGGGTATTGATGCTTCTTTGTGATGTACCTGTGTTTGTGTGGTGCTGTTTGTGATTAAAGCTGTAGATTACACATCAGTTTAAGGAGCTATATACTGTTCATGACTTTTGGTCTGTCACCCATACATTACTGTCAGGGAATAATTTTGAGAGAAACTATATTGGTAATGTCCAGATATATTGATTTCAGGATTCATAGAACCAGATGCAATAAGTTTTATCAACAATACAGTTCTAACAAATATATCTTCATTTTTACCTGCTACTCACAACTTCTCATCATAACAACGTGTTCATTTTGTGCCACTGCTTTCAGTGCTTTCAATATCTGCTTTGTTTGCATCATTGTTGCCTTTGGTTTCCCTGCCTTTCTTTCCCAACCTATGAATAACTAGAGAAGGCTGAAGAAGCAGCCCAGGTCTTTTGTTCTTGAAAATAAGATTGATTAATTTTGCTTAAGAAGAGTGTTCCACTAACTTGCATTACATTATTTTATGCTTCCAGGTGGTCTCTTCTCACTGGCTCTGCCTTTTCCCACTTGCTAAGGAAAAGTCATTATACTGTGTAACAACTGTCACTGATGTTTTACATCATGGAGCATGGTCACTTCTCTAGTATCTCAATTCTATTAAGACAATCAAAACCAAGTGAAATGGCTTAACATTCCAAAATACACCTTTAATTAGTTCTGGGAAATATACATAAACGAATGCAAGTAAAGTGGTAACCCTTATTGCTACTCTGTCAGATTAATGCCATTTTGATGTTGTGATGCTAATTATATATGGGCATGTAAACAATATCAGAATACTGATTTTTTTTTAAAATATTGTGGAAAAAATTGAGATATAGGTATCTGATGTATTCAGCAGCATACAGGGGCAATCTGTGCAAATGGAAACTTTGATAAGCAATCAGCTTTTTGTACTTACATAGTTATCTGCATATACAGTTACAACATCTGCCAACATATTGCATGTTTTATGCCAACAGTGACCTATTTTAGTGTGTGCATGCATTTTGAGAATGTACCCTTGTTCTTTGGATCTCTGAGGTCTGCCAAGTAAATCTCAGGTGCAGTAATCTTCTCCTGCATACCTTGAATATTCTCTGGCATAAGTGTGTATTCTAATTTGTAGGAAGATTAGTATATATCAGGAATAAGAATCGCCCTATAGATTTTTTTAAAGAGTAATCTTGATGTGGAGAACTACACTGATGAGCAATTGCTGGTCAGCAGCTCAGCCTGGACATTTCAGTTTATATAATTGTGTCCTGGACAAAGTAGTAAGCAGCAGAAAGCTAAATTGAAAAGAAATAAGAAAATGACCAAAAATCATACTACTAGGGGAACAACATACTTCAAAGCCATAAGCCAAAAACACTCAGGGCCCACACAAAACAATACAGCAGTTTAGGGATGTGAATAGGCATTTTCCTAGAAAATAGCACAGTGTGCTTCACTGCACAGGTTGTGGTACAGTGTCCACTGTGCAGGTTTCAGCTGCCTTGAACAGCACTTCATTGCCATTATAGCAAAGTCATCATATGCTGAAAAAAGTTTGCCTGTGAAGGAGTTGCCTGTAGCTGAACCTACTGCCTGCTGGAACAGAAATGATGTACACTGTTGATGCTGAGGCAGTTTAAAAAAAATACATTCAAGAAGCCAACAAGCTCCAACTTTTCAACCTGCCTTTGAATTACTAAACCTCCTGACTAATTTGTATCGTCACCAAATGGTGGTGACATGGTCCTGTACCCTCTATATTTAAAATTCTATATCATGCTCTCGAAAAAAACCACAGTTTTTAGATAGCAGTCTGCTTGAAAATACGTAAGGCCATGTTTATTGTTGATACTTAGAAGGTTGTATTTTGGAAAGCCCCTTGACTTTGTTCATTGCATGAGTCAATGAGGCGGTGGAGGCATTTAGGTCAAGTACAGCAATACCAACTGGAATGGCAGCAAAATAAATAAAAACTCATTTTACCAAGTGGTGTAATGATATTTGAATAAAAGATACTTTATAGTGCAGTGGTATTCAGCAACAGCACTGCATGGCTATATGTGCATACTCCAGAGAAAATGTTATGGAGAAATCCTGAAGTCAATTATATTTTATAGGGAGTAGAAAACCAATCCTAGTCAAACATATATTTCTACTTCAGATAGAAGAGGAAGGCTGTCTGACCAGAAATTTAATCCTGCTCTGTCTTCATTACCATGACCACACATGAGAGAAGAAAGATTTCCTCTAACAATGGTCTGATTTTGCCACTGGTTCAGCCTCCTGCACTCATTTTAAGGGCCTGATATGCCACCTTCTGATGTCAGTGGTGAACCTCCACTTGATTCCAGGTATGCATGGTAGGTCCACATATGTGAAACAGGGGCAAAACTATTACTCCAGACCCCAAGCCTACAAACTTTCCTTCACACATGAGTCCCATGGAATTAGTAAGGCTTGTCTGTATAGTATGAGGAAAGCACAGATGTTTGCATATGCAGGACCCTATTTGATAGCAGTTTTAT